GTAGTGCAGACATTGCTCTCAGACTGCTAGTCGCCTCCCGTATTCAACCGTTATACAGCCGAGAAAACCTCCACGACTTGAGCCCAAGTCAAAGTTGAGATGATGTCCAACTTTGCGTCGCGCCGGCGTGCATTGTTAAGCGATGGCATCCACGAACTGTCCAAAAACTGGCAAGGATCTCTCAATAACATTGCTGTATAATTTTGATCTTGTACGCCTCTCTGTAAAAAGAAAGTCTAAAAAAATGTGACAGAACTTTCCCGCCAACCTAATACTTAGCGAATGAAGCAAAACGAGCATGAACGAACGAACGGTCGTCCATTTGTGGGCGGGCGTGGTGGGCGTTTGGGTCGGTATGTTGTAGCTTGATAGGGCCCTTATAAGGGTACCTTCCTTGGAAAAGGCGCTACGCAGCGCCTGCTCAGGGTCGCGGAATTCCGTCCTGCCAGGCGTATTAATCCTACTCGTCTTAGGATTTATCGTGCCAACTTCCTTTACGTTTCTAGGGAATGGCTAAATACCGGTGGCATGTCGGATGTATAACTGAACCTCTATCTTCCCTTCATCTGAACAAACTCCCCTTCGAATTAGGTCCTATGTTTGTAACGCCTAACCGCATTCCGCTTTATAGGACGACCATGTAGTACTGTAGCCATTTGACAATTATTGAAGAATCTCTATTGCACGCGGCTCAAATACACGAGGTTATGTCACAGACACTAATCGACATTCTTTTGAAGGAAGTAGATGGCTGACATGAACTGTTTCGAAAGAGCAACTACTAGGTAGCAATATTTCATTAACTTTACCTTTCCGCTTCTGCGCCTTCATCAAAGCGTTTGAAGCCGAGGAAAAACACAGGAGACAGAGACCTATGCAAGCGTTGAAACATACTCTTTCCAATTGAAACCGAAGCGCAATTTCACTTTTCCAGTGAACTTGTCTTCAGCACTCTCTGCAATTCTGACTACAACAATCTCACCTGCTTTCCATGTACTAAGGCCCTAATGAGAAAGCCAGAAGGTGAGCTGAAAGTTAAAATCTTCGGTAGAGGCAACACATCTCTACAGCATTTTAGCATTGAGGCACCTTGTCGCCGTTACGGTGAGCATTTTTTTCAAGAAAATGAATTTTGGCACAATTACAGTAATCATGAATCCTGCTGGCAGTATTACCACTCCGCAAAGAGTGAAACTGATCAAAGCAGAAGAAAATGGCAGAGAAGTGCGGTCCAGTAATAACGCAGAAAGTAGGATTTCTTCCGTTTCATTGTGCAACCGAGCACATTTTGGGCGAAATTGAAATCTATATAAACATAATGAGCTAAGTTCCCAAGAAAGCTTACCTTACCATGAGCTGAACGGAATGGGGACGACCGCTAGAGAGAATCACACGACCCAATATAGGAATCGAAAAGGCAGCAAAACAACGTTCCAGGATTCTATTGCATTCCAAGGACCCGTAATTCTTCCCTTCCCCGTCCAAGATTTGTCTCCACGGCCATGGCGCAAGAAAAACCAGCCCCTTCCAGCAAAGGGCATGTTGCTTACCAGAAACATCTCGATGGTGAGATTATCGCGTACCCATTTATGAGAACAATAACAGGGGTATACATAATTCTGATTACTGGTACCTTCTGTTGATGAAGTCCTCCAGATCGGCCAATCGCTGAGCATTCGATATTCGTCTCCTAGTTGACCTGCAACACACCATACATCTCCTTGGTGGACAAAGTAAAAAAATAGTCTTGACTGCGAAAGATTTATTTGGTAAAAAGATAAAAATGGTCCATAAATCCGCTGATATCCGATTGTGACTCATGAGACTTCTGGGACGGCACAGGGAAGCTCAGCTCTTGTCAGTGAAGCTTCTCTGTCGAGTTTTTGTGACTGCCACTAAAAATCTCCGATTCGAAGTACTGTTTTGGTGTAGAATAGTGTCTAGAACACTTACAAATGAAGGACCGGTTCGTTATCGGTCCATTAGTTGCTCAATGGCACGCCCCCAATCATTTGTTGTTCAGGCTCCTGTTTTAGACATGGTAGTCCTGCCTGGGTGTGTGGAGGATATACTGATTTCGCAGCTTAAAAGTATGTGAGGAACGCGCTGCCCGCACACGACGGGACCACTGTTCCGCCCACTGACCAGGGCGAGCTACCATTTTTAATGGTTACCTGGTGGTCATCTGTTCGCTACTAACTCTCTCTATTTCGGATGGAAGGGGTTCGATAAGGAGGAAGACTCGGCACTAACAAGTGAAAACTCGTCCAACCACGCCCTCAGCCTCAGATTTCAGATCGCTTTGAACATGAACAAATGCGGTCCAGCATGAGCGGGATTTTTTCTACTTTTACTTCACTACTGGATCACTTATTTTACCCAGGCGATTCTCCATTTTTGAACCAGAAGCGTGCCTTCAATTTAAAAAAGGTATGAAGAATTGTACTATTTGAAAGCTTCTTGAAAGAGCTTGAAACGCTCATAAAATTGTGTGGGATGACGGCCCCTCAGGTGAAGTGGATATGGTCCCGACAAACATTTTGGTGCCCAACACTAGTAGTGAACACTGTCACAAATATTTTAATGAAACAAAGAAAAAGGGGTTGAAACAAAGAAGGAACAATAAGTTTACATGACAAGTAGTGACAAAGTTACCGTCTCCTGAACAGATTCTGCTTACTCGCTCGGTAGTTGGCTATTTTGGAGCAGTCACCAACTGAACCCGTTCTGGACTCCATAGCACGAAGACGTGCTGCCTGAAAAGAGACATGCTAGAGCATCTCAACGGGATAGAACGGAAACAGCAATCCCTACTGCTCCAGATACCGTGAGAAAGGTACCGTTAACACCATTTAACACAAAATCCTTGGACTGGACCAATTTTGAATCCTCAGATTCACTCGTAGAAAAAAGTTGAAGAGCTAGTCCATTTGAAGAATCAAAATAAAAAAAAAATTAAAAACGAAACTAGTAACGCCTATTTTTCTCATTCTGTTGTTCTCATCATATATATCATACCCAATGTTCTTATCAACTTCTAGTTGATAAGTAATACTTCGCGATGACGCGCGCTGACGCGCTACCACTACAATGGCGCTCCGATGGTGTACACGGGAACGCAGTCGCAAGGGTATCGACCTGCGCCGGTGAGAGAACATAGGGTAACAAGAGGGTAAGCGCTGCCCAACCACACAGTCTGGTAGAGATCGCCGCCGGACACTAGTGCTTTGGGAGAGTATAGAAAAGTAGGAGGGTACCAGACTGTGTGAAGGCACACCCTACCCTCCTGTTGTCCTATACTATCTCAATACACAGGCGACCGATGTCGATCGATACCCGCCTACGGCTGCATTCCCGTCTACAGCACTGGAGTGCCACTGCATTGGTAGCGCGTTGTCGTGCGTCATCGCGAAGTCTGAACGCTGCCGTAAATGAAGAAAATATTTACAACATAACACACAACATTACTTCTGAAGATCCTCTCCGATGTAATCTTTCTTTCACAATGTCCATTTAGATTTGAAGCAGTGATGAGAACGTTAAGGTGAATAAATATATTGTATTGTTTCAACAGTTCTCTGTGGTACTGGTACAAGCACAGACTGAGTTTTCAATGTTTCCAGCTATTGGGAGGGTAATGTTTCATAAACATGACTATGACCTTGCACCTGCTCCCATCAATTCTCAGGAAAGATTTTTTAGAAGCTGGAGGACCTCAGAATAATGACTCATAACCATCGAAGTCCTAACTGTTGAAGGGTCATGGACCAACAGTGTTAGCAGAAGTCACTGCCGAAATCTGAGCAAATCTGCTTGCCAAGAGTCCGTCTTCTTGCATATTATACTATTTTTCGAATTTTTTAATCTCTAACCCAAAACGTTACGTTATTTCCAGTTATTCAAGCGCTACTCTAATATATCTTGACATTTTTATTACAACACTTCAAATTACTAGAAAAAAGGGAGAAATAAATTGCGTGGAAACTAAGCTTGTAACATTTTATGGCTCTTAAGTCTCTTACTGTCAACTTGGATCTACCGTAATACAACGCACTAGTGCACCAAAATGTGCCGCTGGATGATAGTTGTGCCGACACTGACACTGGTATTGTTATAACTCACAGTACAGGTAAAGTCATAAGGCGCTAGTTGAGTACACCGCTTCGTCACGAAAGGACATTTTACTTGGTGCAAAGAAGAGAAAGCTCCCTGCCTTGGGGAAAATCCACATCTCCGACTCGCACTCTTTTCTTCGCACTCTTCAGCAAACACGAAAAAAGAGAAAATGACGTGAAAATGAAGCTCAGAGCATGAAAAAGTTCTTGCACAGAGTTGCGATTACCGTAGTTTCATGTGCTATTGCAATTGCACCAACTACCCCAATGTGTTTCCCTTTTTCTAGTCTGTGATCACAGAAAATGAGTAGATCTCACTAGATTTTCTGTCTTGTTCGCTGCCGATACTCGGCGTAGCAAGGGGCAGGATTTGTCGCGGCATCACACCCTTTTCCCACCAACTGTTGTCGCTTGATCGCGTCTGCAATCGGTGGAGCCGCGCCAAACCCGGCCTCTCCTCCCCCTAAGACGCTTCATCACTGCACCGAACAAGACTATGAAGGAGAACAGGTTTATCATCGGTTACATTCACAAAAACATAGTCAACCAAGGCGAATGAACAGGTAAGATTTTTTCAGAGAAAACTCCAGAAATCCCAAATATCTGATAGAGGCCTATTTCGCGATTTTTCGTGGAAACCGTCATGGGTAGGTAGGTTGAAAAACAGGTTCGAAGAATTGTTTTGGATGATCTACTCGTCAAGAAAAAGCGGACGAATTGCTTGAAAACGTCCAGTAAGGTCCTGTTTCTGTTACTGGCTGTATCAAGCGAGGGGTGAAGATTCATGGGCATTTTGGGCGAAAGACCTGACAAGAACAGCGAAAGAGCACGCGACTGAACAAGTCTCGCACGGGTAGAGACACTTGTGCACAGGATATAGCATCGTGATGTGTGAAATTTTAGTGTCAGTACGACCCCCCCCCTGAAAGAGGGTCTTGGTACGACCTCCTGCAAGAGGAGCCGCCTAAAAGAGGGTCTCGGTTCGACCCTCCCCCCCCTTCCCCAACACCTACCTACCACTTTCCTACATGTTCCCAGCTTCCTACCAGTTTTCTCCGAAATTTCCCGAAAATTTGCTACTTTTCCCCAAAAATTTTCGGAGGGGAGGAGGGACGGTGTCAGCAGCCAACTACTATTTTCCACTACCGGAAATAGTAGTTATATAGACCTTTGGAGGCGCCATCAACTAGGGGGGAGGGGTATGTAGCAAATATGAAACGGGAAAAATCACGAAAAGTCAACTAACGGGAAAAATTTTTTCCAGCCCGGCAAAATTTTCTCAGAGGCACATGCGACCCCCCACCACCTCCGCAGTGGTCAAGTACGACCCCCGCCTCCCCTTCCCAACAGCAAGTGCGACCTCCATATGTTTCACACAACGATGCTGCACCCTGCTTGTGCAACCTTGCGCCTTAACGTCCCGGCCTTACAACTGGTACGAGGCAAAATTGGTGCAAAGCTACTGATTGGTCTTCCCCCGCGCAGGGGTTTAATATTATGAATAGGCTTGAACGTGCCTTTTCAAGGCAGGTTAGTCAGCTTCTATTGATTCCCTCCTAAAGCCATAGGTGCTTGGCGCCTCCTTCAGGTCCAGTGGCAATTATTGGGACCATCTCGCAGAACGGGAAAATTGATAGTTAGGAACCTTGGATCAGTGGCTTCCGTTTAATTTATAACTTGACAATTCAAAGTGAGAATAACTGGGCCCAACTGGCAATGATTAGAGCTGCGACACTTGTGTGACATACATAACTCAACTGTAACAAGTAAATTGAAGCGACTCTCTTATGAAAACAAGTGTGACAAAGCGTTTCAGTCCCTGGGGTAAAACTCTCAAAAGGCGCGCTGTCATTAATATGTTGAACACCCACTCACACAAACTATTAGCCAGCCCCATACCGTTCCTCCGCATACTAGAAGTTCAAAACTCTTCTGAACTATGAAGTTGTGGAAAGCAGGATTGAGTCGAGTAAAAATCATTCTTGTTGCAATTAAGGAATCATGCAAACAATCCACCGATCAGGAATTCTCTCACTCTTAATTGAACCCACGGTGAAAGACAAAAAGGCGGAATGAGATTGTGGGCCGGGTGTAGTTGTCAGTTTGTGCACGAAACGAAAGGGTTGTGAAGATGCGTAGACGATTCGTGCCAATAATGGAAATCATTTCCTATTGCGTTCGCCTGATATAAAAATGCATAGAAAACAGCTAAGGTGGGCTTTCCTGCAACAAACGAACGCATTCGGAACGTTAATCGATTTTACTCGCTAAGAAACGTACGAATAAATGTGAACAAAAAAATAAGTACTGAACTAAATTACTTATAAATTCTAGGTTGAATTACTATCAATTCGAACTGGTTTTCCGCTGGGAAACAGCAGACAGCGTACAGCATTGGTATAGGGAAGTGATAGTGGCAACAACACCCCCCCCCCCTATTTCCCCAGTTATCTTCCTTCGGTATCACATCCTCGACATCCTTTTTCTTGCTAACACCTTCCTTTCCTAACAGGGGGAAGGGCAGTCACCCCTACTCCTCCCCCCCCCCCTCACCGCCACCAACTATCTCCCTTCAGTACCAACCCCTCGCCGTCCTTTACCTACCACCTTCCCGAATTTGTCCCGAAAATTTCTAAGGTTTCAATCCTCAAAAACTGCCGTCGAGCGAGGGAGGGACCGCACCGGACAACTGTTAATTTCTACTACATCAACTTCTTACAGATTTCCCCACCTCTTCAAAAAATTTTCTGGTTCTTGCTCAAAAATTTTAACGGCGCCGCAAACCAGGGGTGTATGATACACATAAAGCGAGAGAAGCCGCGAAAAGGCAACAATCGAAAAATTTCTTACGCAGAATGAAAAAAAATTTTGTCAAGGCCGGTGATCCCCGTCGACCAAATGCGACATCGCCCCCGTAGACCAGGTGTGACTCCTGCCTAACGGATTCTCCCAACGATGCTGTCTCATTGTATCTGAAGAGTGGTCCGCTTCTGGCAAATGCCGTAGCTTCCAAAGCCCGCATTCAGAGAGCTCCCATAGGTACAGCCTAAGAGACGAGTGTCCTAAATGTGAAATGGCCCATTTAGGGTCCACACATTGTGAACCATGGCCTGATCGTAGGCAGCGGAAAACAGAGCAAACCATGAACTCTTCAGCTCCAAGATTAGTGCTTCGTCGCTAACGCTGGCGTGTGGTAGCAGGCCTTTCCGTGTAAGAAGGTGGGACTCTGGGCCTTCGAAGATCAAGTCGACTTTAAGCCGGGTCAATAAAGTCCCCCCCCCTAGCAACCTCGTGAGGCACACAGCAGCACGACTAGGGATAAACTACTAATACTTGATAGAATACTAAAATACATAGTCTACGACTTTTTTTTCAGTGAGCCGTGGCTTGGCTCAACAATAGAGGAAACGAAATTAATGCTGTTGCGTTGGCAAAACGTTTAGCAGAAACGTATGGGTTTAGGTGACTTGCCAAAACTGCAAATGACAGGCGAGCTGAACCCGAAAAGTAATCGTCTTCCCCCCCCCCCCTCGCTCTTTCCCTCTCTTCCATCTCTGAAGTCACGGCAAAACCACGCGGCGTCGCGCTCGAAAATTGCAAATACCGTATGGTTACGATCGCGCGCTCGCGATGGTTTTGTTACCGCGCTGCCAATATTGCTTACTGAACGATGTTGAAATTCCTTCACATTCATCATTTTTCCCGAAATACCCCAAACGGGAGTCACCTGGGAGGTA